TACAATAGTCGATTATCAAACAATGATAATCGATTATTTACAGGTTCAGAATCAGTATTAGAAGAAAAGAAGGGAAGGAATTATTTGGGTAAAAAAAAGGATTTGAAAAGAAACAAAGGTTTTAAAAGATAATAAGAAACTAAGGTTTGACTTGTCTTCCTTTGATTTCATTTTTGACTAAAAATTGATGGGAAAGACTATATTTTGAATTAAAGAAAAGAAAGAATACTTTTGGATATGTGGGGAGAGTTGGGGTTTTGGTGGAGCCATCCAGGGGTACATCATACTCCCCTTCTTCGAAGAAAGTTTGTCCTCAAACTTTCGCACCACCGTGACTGATTGGGGTTTCATAAAAGAATTCCCGGATCAAATGGGAAATTCAATGAACCACCAATAATGAGGTTCCTTTCGGAATTAGTGGGCACCTCGTTGTGTAATTTCCGGAACATGATGTCATTCCTTGTAAGAACCTGCTTCAAATATATCTCGGAGATGAGATAAGATTTTTCTTTACCAAAAGGAGGATAATACTCTATGGAAATCACTTCCTTAGAATATATAACTTCTGGTGTGGCTTCCTCTATAACTACCTCATCAACCAAGTCATCTTGAATAAGGGAAAAATCATTATAGTGTGATTCTTCCTGAGCATTAGAAGCCGGTCCTTTTACGAAGACGTCATCTTCATCTTTGACATGGTTATCAAAGACATCTTCGTAATTTCCATCCTGTTGATTCTCATATGCTGCTATGATCCTTACATGCTCTTCATAAGGAATGGCTTCTTTATTTGTGCACCTCCAATAATGATGGCCATAGCCACAACACATGTAGCACCGTTTAATAGGTCCTTGAAGGATTGCCTCATTTGCATAAATAATCTCAAGATTTTTGAAGTATCTTTGGATATCCATATCTCAACGACCAGATATTGGAATGATGTAATTCCAACTCTCGGAGTTAGATATTGAAGTCCGCCTTAAAGACATATCAAAAATTTAAAAGCATTGAAAATCATTTGATGCTTCGTTGGAGGTCAAATGAGTAAGGTATCCAGACTGTTGGCAGAATTGCGTCTTTAACTTCGAATGGACGTATCTCCCAAACCGTAAGTCAGAATTGAGTGAAATCAGCGGCCAGACGTAGATAAAAGAGCAAACTTCCAAACTGGAAAGTTTTACCTTAAAATCAATTGTGTACCTTCCTCCGTGATCAAATCTTTGGAGCTGAAAATTTCTGGAAAATTTTGAGAAACTTTGCTAGTGCAGCGTTTGCGTCGCCGGTCCTCTGGGTAGTCGTCGAGACTTAAGAAAGTCGTCGAAGCTGAGCTCTGATACCAGATGTTGTACCCGAGACCCGGAGTCTTATCGAGTAGCTATTTTGTGGCGGATTTGCGGAAGGAAATGGATGATAGAACTGAAAGGATGAAATATGGAGTGTGGGAAAGAGATCTTTTTGGTGTTTTTAATGAGAGAAAAGAATAAGTTTAAGAAAAAGAAATGGTGAGGAATGAAATGGGCAGAAATAAAGTGAAGGGATAAACCAAGTTGGTGTTAAGAGATATGACACACTCTTATCTTAACTTGGGGCTTTTATCTTCTTTTACACATTAATAATCACTACTAATGTATAAAATTAGACTCCTAACACGCACTCAAAAGTAGCCAACTTTAGAGATATTTCATTAGGAAATTTGGTTAAAATAGCATCACACTATTTTAATGAATTACTCAAAGAGTA